CAGTATACCTGTATTTCATGTGCTGTAATTTTGTGTGACATTAAAATACATTAAATAAGGAAAAACACATTTGTAAAAGTGGAGCAACAACTGCTCACACTTACTGTTATAAACTGTAAACTCACATATACTTCTGTGTGGAGTTTGCATGTTCTCCCCGTGTCAGCGTGGGTTTCCTCCAGGTGCTCCAGCTTCCTCCCACAGTCCAAAGACATGCAGGTTAATTGGTGACTCTAAATTGTCCGTAGGTGTGAATGTGAGTGTGAATGGTTGTCTGTCTCTATGTGTCAGCCCTGTGATAGTCTGGAGACCTGTCCAGGGTGAACCCTGCCTCTCACCCCTAACAGGATAAGCAGCCACGGAAAAATGAATTAAAGAATGAATATGTTTTAGAGTATGACTGGATTATTAAATTCATGGGCTGAAGAAATGCTACTGAATCAACAGATATGAGTGGTATCAAGTGTAGAGTGTCTCAAATTCCAATCACCTAATTTTGGTTTTAGAGTTCTCTAACTTTGCAAGTTTCAGTGTTACTCCCGTCACTCAACTCTTTCCCACCATACAGTAATTAATCCCCTAAATGTTTCCAGCTATCTTAAATGATTTCTGCAGCTTTGTCTGAGTCCTTTGCATTTAGCAGATCCATTAGTCATGTGACTTATAAATCCTCATACAGTGAAGACATATAAAACAATCTTATATTCATCAGTGATAGCCGTGGCTGGAGGCACTATGTTTCCTGGTTGGTTGTCCTGGTTGTCCACCCGTCCATCCGGCTGTCTGTCCATCCCATTCTTGTGAATGCGATATCTGAAAAATGCCTCAAGCTAATTCCTTTAAATTTGGCACAAACGTCCACTTGGACTCACCAATGAACTGTTTAGAATTTGGTGGTCAAAGGTCAAAGTCACTGTAACCTTGTCCATCTCATTCTGGTGAACGCAATGGGCCCTATTTATATGGTCTAAAATGTGAAGCACCAGGCGTGCGGCGCATGGGCGTGTCCCAGTCACTTGCTAGTTAGACAGCGCGTTTTTAGACTGTGCGGGCGTGGGATTACTAATACAAGAAAGATCTTACTAAATATCTGTGGAATATTATTCAAACCTGTTTTCATCCTATAACAGAGCACAGCTGTCAGGACTGCCACAGAGCTCCTCAAGGTGCTGATCCTGCAGCTAGGACCTGTTCAGCGTTTTCGCCCCCAACCATGTTTGTTAATTGTTTTCACATGTTTCCTAGAGCTGTGTTCTGCCTCTTATTTGCATGTGTGTCCTCTCTACACTCAGATAACAATATAATAATATAATATAATGTAGCCTAGTATAACATGTTAAAATAAATGCAATGTGTGGGCTTTGGTTTTCAATCAAAAAAATGATTGATTGGTCAGATAATTTCACAATTTCAATTGTCATTATTACAAATTATGATGATCATTATTACTGCGATTAGATCTTTCTGATTAATGACTGACCATTAAGACATGTTTCTGATAAATATTTTAATGTGCACAATAATAACCTTTCACATTGTAATCATATTTTTATTTGTTATCTTTTGCATATGTGTGGCTGCTTCATGTGTGTCTGAGCAGAGTGTGCATGCGCGTTGTGCACCCGCCTAGAGACGCATATTACTAACATGTTTAACAGCGAAATACTGCGCCGTTGACTTTAAACCGGGTTTTTGTTGGTCACTGGCGCATTTGCTTTTTACGTCATCTAACTAGCAACGCGCCATGACTGCGCCTGACCACTCCTCATTTTTAGACCAACACACCCAGAGAAGCGCAAGTTCATTTGCTAGTTAGACGACGAGGGCGCAGGGCGTGAAAATGACAACTGCTCCTGCATCTAAATAGCAATGACACTTGCGACATGGATTATGCGCCCTCCGTCGTCTGCTTTAGACCGTCTAAACAGGGCCCAAGATCTCAAGATGGCCTTGAGGATTTTTCCCCAAATTTGGCACAAACGTCCAATTGGACTCAAGGACAAATTCATTCGAATTTGGTGGTCAAAGGTCACAATGACTTCACAAAACATGTTTTTGGCCATAACTCAAGACACTAATTATTCAGACAAATGTCTGAGAGGGTTTAATGATGAAGTGATGACATTTTATATCCAAAAGGTCAGCTTCACTATGGCATCATTAAGTTCTACAAAAACACTTCTCTGGCCATTACTCAGCACGATAACTCAGGAACAGAAGGAGAGACATTTGGTCGGATACTGAGTTTGTGACATTAATCTTGGTTAACCACCTTCTGTATCTTCTCTGTCACCAGTTTAAAGATGTCTGCGATGCATTCATGTTCTAGAATTTGTAACTTCTTTGCAGCAACATCTATATTTGAGGCATTGTCTCCTGTCATAGCTACATATGAGTGTGGACAGACATGGATGTAAACTGTAACCTGGTAGGTGGAGGGATTATTTGTCTAAATGATCCTTAATGCCCCTTTTTGAGGTCTGAAGCCGTACTGTCCCCTGGAGGCAGCATTTTGAGATCAACTTACTTCCTTAATTTGATACACTTGTGTCAGGGAGGACATACTGTAATACAGACGTTGTTAAATCAATGAAATAACAGCTGGGAGAGAGGTGATTGTTTTTTATGGGACAGGTGGAGCTCCTGTTTTATTGGAAAGAAGTGTTGATTTACACGTGTTTATACCTGCTGGTACAGAGATAATCTTTTATTAGATACGTTTTATCAGATAATAAATGACAGGAAGAGCAGGGTGTGTATTTTTGCCTTTAACCGAAAATAGTGTTGTAAAACTTAATGAAACATTTATTTTTAAATTGTAAAGGCCTTTTTTTATCATCAGAGTAACAAACCTACTACATGGCCAAAAGTATGTGGACACCCAAATATATGATATAGAATCATGGGCAGTAATGTGCTGCTGTAACAGCCTCCACTCCTCTGATTTAAGCTTTTCCAATATTTTGGAAGCTGGCTGCAGGAATTTGCTCCCATTCAGTCACAAGAGCATCAGTGAGGTGCAGCACAGATGTTGGGTGATGAGGTCTGGCTCACAGACTGTGTTCCAGTTCATCCTAAAGGTGTTGGATAGGGCTGAGGTGAGGGTAGTGCAGATGAGTTCTTCCACACTAATCTGGGAAAACCATTTCTTTATGGAGCTTTGTGCACAGTGGTATTGTCATGTTGAAACAGAAAACGGACACAAACTCATGCAAAGAAGTTGGAAGCGCAGTGAGGTTTAAAATATTATTGTATGTGTTTGAAGATTTCCCTTTATTGGAACTTAAAAACCCAAACCATAAAGACAGGGGTGTCCACACACTTTTGGCCATGTGGTGCATGTCAAACATCATAAAGAAATAAATTTACCGTGGACATAAAGTTGAATATATATCAAAAATAGTTTGTTTTTTATCACTCCAAGCCTTAAAGATCCAGTATGTTGTGTTTAGTGGCATCTAGTGGTGAAGTTGCAGATTGCAACCAACTGAAACAACTTTGTTTCACTCCCAACTCATCAAATACTGATGCTTGATCAGCGGCTCGTCGGCCTCAGACACCAACACACAGAGGCATGCTTTGGCAGTACAATAAAACGAACTGGGCAGAGGCAGTTGTCGACACTCAGGGCAACTACCGTAGTATAAAAAGCAAGGGGTGCATTGGGGTGAAGTGAATGGGTTAAACAAACTACTGACTTCCAAAACCAAAAGTCATTTGAGTTGTTTTACTAACAACGGAGTGTGCTAATATATTTAGCATACTATGCAACATATGTCACATGATGTAACATTACTTAGTAAGAAGTTATTTTGAGGAAAACCATGATGTTTTTTTCTAAATCTAATCAATGCCTTGTGTGAGAAAGCTGCTCTTGATTGGTCAGAATTTCCATGTGGGAAAAATCCAGGAAGTGAAGCAAACGTTGAAGAAGAGTACACTTGCAAGATAAATGTGACACTTTCTAATGTCACAATGGAGGGACAACTACGCAGGTTGATTTTAGCGCTGCTCATCGTGGACTACATTGCTGTCATTGTTCATTTTAGTCAAACCATACAGTTTGAAAACGAGGCGCGGCTCCAACTAGAAAACAACGTTTTGATGCATTGGATGTGCTGAATGTGCATATTAAGGCAGTACAGGAGGAGGTGCACATTAATAATCCTCCAGGACTGTAACATGCTCATGTTTAACCCAAACAATGTGTCATGTGACTGCAGTTGCTTCACATCCAGGTCGGAACACCTTCTCACCACAAACAAACCGCACCAGAGTTCCTTTGTAACCAGACCAAGACCACCTCTTCAAGAAGGTCTCAGTCTGGTTGTTTTGGTGCACACCTGAGTGTGATTGCTGTGTTCACACCTGCCCAAACAAACTGAATTTAGTGGGCAAACGCACTTGAGTTCAGTTGAACTGAACTAAACAGGGCAGGTGTGAAAGCACCCTGAATGACAAATACAGACTACTGCCATCTGCTGGTATGGAGGAGTATTTCCTTTCATGCAGGTGCAGAACATACGTGCTACTTGGCCACCACTTGTAGTCTTTGTGGTGTCTTCATATGAGACTTTTTGGCAAAGACACAGGTAACGTGGGGCGTCGCAGCTTCCGTCGCCACTACTTCTCTGGAGTCGGTTTGTTGTGTTCGAGCCTTTATTTTCAGTTGATTACAAACTAATGAAAATAGTTATGAATATTCCATTTTTGCCATTGATTCCTCCTAAATCCTACAAAGCTGGACCTTTAAGTAACTGACCCCTAGCTGAAAAAAAATCCTGGACCTAAAACTGAATATTGTTTTCCACGTCATCACACTAAAATCTTTGCCTCTTACCAACCCTCCACCTACCACCCACTGCTGCTGCTTCCATTTTTAACACTCCTCCACCAGGCTGAGACTGACTGAGCCTGAGGGTATCATGGACCTTCAGCTGCCGTCTGTCTGGCTTCATTTTCCTCTCTTTTGTGTTTTCAACCTTCCTCAAACGTCTCACCTTGCATCCTTTGATACCCGGGCCTTCTCGAAAGAGAATTTGGGCAGGACGCTGGAATCGTAGGTCCTGGACGTGGGTTCTGCCGACACCCCAGCTTTGGCCCCTTTCCTCCTGTTAATGGTGTCCTTGATGCGAACGCTGAGGTTGGGGCTGCTCTTGCCGCTGGCTTTGATTGAAGGAGGCCTTGACACCAAACCTGCCGAGGTCTGGTTCTTCATCACATCCTGCACCTTGTTGAGCTGGATGCACTTGTTCTGCAGCTCCTCGCTCAGCTCGGCCAGAGCTCGAGTCTGTTTGGCCAGCTGCTCCTGAAGAGCCTTGATCTGCTGCTCTTTGGCACAAAGCTCCTCGTCCCTCCTCTTGCCCTCTCGCTCCAGCTCGTCCACTCGGGCCCTCAGAGAGTCCAGGGATGAGTTTTTGAACCCCTGATCTTTATAGATTCGGCTGTTGGAGGAACCAGCAGAGCCGTCCGCGTGTTTGTAACGCTTTGATTTCATCGAACCGTTCCCCATCTTGTCACCTGAAGACACACCAGAGAGTCAAAATCAATATTTGCGAGTGATTTAAAAAGTTCAGATGGAGGAGAGGTGAGTTTTTCCAGCAGTGCAGTGACATTTAGCAGGAAAAGGTCTGTTTGAGGAAGCTGGGAGTGAGGTTTCAAACAAAAGAGCTGACGCTGTGCGGAGAGAAAACCGGAGAAAGAGAGAGGAGAGACAGCAAATCAGTATATAATGGTCAGTGAGTGTCTTGTCCATTTATTATTCAGAAGGCAGGAAGTATTACATTACATCAACAGTCACTCCCTGCTCAGACACAAGCAGAGAGCCAGATGCTCTTTAGGAGGCTTATAAAATATGAAAACCAATCAAAACATACAACTTTAAGAGAATAACTGGATTTCAGAGTGATCTTTAAGTTTCTGTCCACATGGTGAGAGAGTATCTGGGAAAAATGTCCCAGAACAATCCTGGTTTTGTTGTGTGGGACTGTCGCCCACTCACACATACAGTCGACTTCATTCAACGCATTCCTGCTCGGATACAGAGAGTGCATGTCAGATCAGGCTGTTCCCAAACACCAGCCTGACGAAATCATCATTTATCATCATTTAAAAACTTATTCAGAGAGATTACAACTTAATTTCACCTTATTTTTTCATTTTGTTATAAAGCTTAAACTCAATAAGTGCCACACACAAAAAATTACAGCAACAAATTTAATTAATTTTTATTAATTTGTATCATAAGAATAATCCCGTAAAAGCGATTAAAAACTGATCCAGTCAAGTTTAACACAGACAGGATCGTGCACCTGCAACTTCCCGATGCCTCGTCATTCTTCTCCACAGACACAGTGATGGATGAGTCGGTGTTTGGTTCAGAGGATCAGTCTGCACTCACCTGATCTGAGTTTTCACAGCCTTTAATCGAGCCTGGAGGAGGATTTAACAGAAGAAATAATGTGTCCGCACATTCGAGCATCTGCAGAGAGACGGTCCATCAACAGCACTGGTCGCATCCTCTCCTCCCTCTGTCTCTGTCTCTGCTTCTCTCGCGCTCTCTGTCCTCATCCGGCTGTGCGCGTTCTCGTGTGCGCGCCGACCGTTTTGATCGGTGAGTCAGGTGAGAGACATAGAAATAATGTATTTATCTATGACGGTGACGAATACTTTATATTCTCTGTAACAGTAGGGCTAAAATAAGCGCAAGATCAACTCTTAATGTTTGGGAAATCACTTGTAAATAAACTTCAATTTATTTTTAAATTTATTTTAATAATATTTTATCTAACCGGGAAAACCTCATTAGGGAGTGTTCTTTATTTATCAGAGGAGAAGGTAGGCCGACACATTCTCACTCTGACCTCGTCACATACTGACGTTTGGTTATTGAGGGTTTTGGTCATGGGTGTTTGGACCCTGGGTGTGTTGGTTGTTCTTCAGCCTGTCACATGTATTGTCTTCTTTCAAATTACACTTCCGTTTTCACAGGAAATGTACAATTTGCATGAAGTCTCTTTCAAAATAAATGCACGATGCCTGTACAACACTGGGAATTGACGTTTGGAAAATGATTACGTTTAGCCAACACACACACACATGGTTGGGTTTAGGAAAAAAAAGAGCAGGGTTTGGCTTTATAATCTTATGGGATGTGAACACCAGCCTCCTGCGTGAACGTCAGTGGTTGTTGGACCCATCCACCACCTGTCAAGCCCACCCTGCTTGGACTTTGGCCGCCTTAACTTTCGTTGTTGTCCTGTCGCATTTCCCCTGTGCGGAATTTATTATATATAATAATTATAATATATATATTACCATTTATAAAACTGTCCCTAGTTCATATCACCCCCCCTTGAAGATCCGCATATTTATTTGAACCCAACAGCAACAAAAAAGCCTTTCTCTATATGGCTATTTAGCGTAGCCGCGGTCGGGTCAGACACAGTGGAAGTCAGCAAACCAGAATACGGCACCCGGAGGCAGAAGTGATTCTGCTCGCCCGCAGCAGCCCGCAGCCATTAAACCACAGAGGAAGAAGGAGCCGTGTTTACGAGTAGGATTTAAGAAACAGGCTAAATGACATGTAGTAGGGAGTAGTCTCTTGTACAGTAGGTGGTGGTATGCACCTGGAAGTTGTTTGTGATCTGCCAATAAATTGAGAGAAGAAGAAGAAGAGCCGTGTTTACAGAGTGTTCTTCAAGTAAGCGGTACACAACGGGCATTGCTGAACACATAACAGTTTTACCAGATGTATCTATAAGGACTTGGTTGTACTTTCGATGTCATGGCGGATAAAGAAGGAGCACCATCTAAAAGAAAAAGAACAGAAGAAGGCTAAACGGGACAGTGATAGGGCTCGAGCCCAAACGCGTGTAAACCTCGGTCGGGCATTCACCAAGTGGAGAGAGCTGAGAGATTTGAAAGGTTTTAAAACTGATCCCTAGTTGGCCCTTTTCCTAATCGACAGGTAATTTTTGTTTATATTTAGAGAATATACGGCAACTTGTTAGACATTGTTTCACTTCAATATATGACGACATGGAAGTTATAAGCAAGCTAAATGTAACGTTAGCTGATGTGAACCGCTTTTGTCTAGTAACGTTACAACAAACGCCACAAAATTATCTGTGACTGTGACCATGAACACAAATACACAGCAGGCAGTTGTCCTCAGTTTATAAGAAATTCAGAGCTACACCAGAACATTTATGATTTACCTCTCGCTCTCCAACACAAATGCATGTGGTAATGAAGCCGAATGCCAGCTGCAGTCGGAATTTTACGACACCAGGCTGTGTTATACCGCTTCGACCAAAGGGGGCACTATAATCAATGAAAACGTAAAGTTCCCCACAGCTGCTTTAAACAATCATAGCAACTGACTGCGTATCATGCCGACGTGAAAGGATAGCATTTCATGTTGGTGTCTAATGCCGTAAGTCACTGACCAAGCATCGATCCATTTTTTTGGTGGCCAAATTTTAAACGAGACAAAGAAAAAAGTCATTTTGAGGAAACATCACTATTTTAAGTTCAGATTTGGTTATGGGGTTTTTTTCTGATAGAAGCACTTGTGGCACACAATGTGTCCAAGGAGCATCAGAAAACTGAAAATCCAAATTTCTGTTTTTACAGTTTCTTGCTTTGATAGATGGTGTAATTTTTGGAATTTTTTTCTTTAAAAATCTGCTGTAAAATAAATGCAAAATACAACCCCTCCCCTAGTCTCGCTCACTAGACCTTTCTCAAGAAAAGAAAGGTCTGGCTGGGCCGACTCTCGCTTTAAGAATGGAGAAAAAAACGCCCCGACTTTTTTTTATTTCTTTCAACAATCGTTCTGGGCGGTGCCACAGCAACGGTTCACTTGCAAAAATATTGCCGGGGGGAAACAGGTTTTGGTGTAAAACGCCCACAAAAATATCACCTACAGGACGCAAACCATGGCAGAAAAATGGCTACATCCCTGCAACACTGCAAAAGTTAGTAAAGGACGTGTTGAAAACGGTTGAAAACTGCTACACAACCGGAGGTGGTAGGGCAGGACTTCAGCGGGTGGCTCGTTCCGCCCAATGAGAGGCTGATCTATGCAGCGAACTTCCGCCCACTCAGACTACCCCTCCCCTAAGCCAAAGGGGAGGGGCTGGAGCCTATCCCAGCTGACATTGGGTGGGAGGCGGTAGGGTACACCCTGGACAGGTCACCAGACTATCACAGGGCTGACACATATCTTTCACACATCTTTGGACTGTGGGAGGAAGCCGGAGTACCCGAAGAAAACCCAAGCTGACACATGCAAACTCTGCACAGAAGGGCTCCCCCACCCTGGGTTTGAACCAGGAACCCTCTTGCTGTGAGGAAACTAACCACTGTGCCACCGTGCTGCCCATTGAAATCATTTCATCCTAAAACTGAACCACAGTAAATGGCACCTTTTTAAACACTCAAATGTCTGTCAGTGACAATAGAAATAACAAGAACCAATCCAGAAGTGATTGAACACATTATGTACGTACAATAAGACAAGCAGGCAGGAAAGGCTTAAGTGCAAGACGGGGATAATAAGGTGCAGAAATTTATGTTTGGATGTGATGCGTGTTTGGTTTCTTAGAGAAGATGGGCATTTTGTCTGTGTGTGTGAGGCTGATGCAAATTTTCTTTCCCAGAGAGCCAGCCAGAAGAAAGAGCATCAAACTTCAGCAGCACTGATGTGAATTCACAAAGTACTTTTACTATCTCAGATTTACCTGCAGACGGCAGAGGGGGAAGCATACTTAAAAGGCTTGAGGCTTGAGGCAGGATTCACAGCTATAACTTTATCCGCAGAAGCATTTAATAAACAGATAAATAAATATGCATGTCTTGCATCAGGGAACTTTCTTTTGAAGTGAGGGTATGTAACTTTCTAAAAGATGAAACAACACGTTCTTCCTCTTACAAATAAAGTTAAATTCAACTTCAACTTTATTTTGTCCCTAGAGGGCAATACGTTGCACAGCATGTAAAAATACACATAAAAAAGACAGGAGGGAATACATAGGAATATAAATACTCAGTAACTGGGGGGAGTTGAGGGAAGCCAAATACAGTGATCTGAAACAACCGTGGTCATCAACAACAACCAGCCAAAAGAGCAGCCTCAGTACGAAGCTTGACTCTTTGATTCATAAGTTCAAGTCAACACACTCAGTAGTTTGGCTGCTCCGTCTTAACTTGATCTGGCCTGACCATTAGCTTATGGTGGCTAATGTTAGCTAATGTTAAACTTTGGATGGATATTGCTCAGTAACTGACATCACTGAGTCAGTTCACTAACTTAATGACTGTTCTTTACTTGTGGTACTATGTCGGCTCTTTTTTAACATCTACAATGATCCTGTATGTATGTGTCTATGTACGGAGCGTGAGATGGGTCGGCGGTTTGGCATGTGGTCTGCAGTGATGTGGGCGTTGTGCCAGACTGTCATGGTGAAGAGGGAGCTGAGCCGGAAGGCAAAGCTTTTGATTTACCGGTCCATCTACGTCCCAACCCTCACCTATAGTCATGAACTCTGGGTAGTGACCGAAAGAATGAGATCGCGGATACAAGCGGCCGATATGAGTTTCTTCAGATGGGTGTCTGGGCTCAGCCTTAGAGATAGGGTGAGGAGCTCAGACATCCGGAGGGAGCTCGGAGTAGAGCCGCTGCTCCTTTGCATTTAAAGGGATCAGTTGAGGTGGTTCTGGCATCTGATCAGGATCCTCCTGGGCGCCTCCTGTCAGAGGTGTTTCGGGCAGTCCAACTGGTCAACTCATATGGCCTAGGAACGCCTTGGGGTCCCCCAGGAGGAGCTGGAAAGTGTTGCTGGGATGAGGGACGTCTGGGATACTTTGCTCAGCCTTCTGCCCCTGCTACCCAGCTTAAGAAAAGCACATAAAAATGGATGGATGGATTATCCTTTATTTTAAGCTTGTGGAATTGTTGCTGACTCGCAAAATTTAAGGCTCAGACATACTTTCCACATCGTATGTCCTTTGACAGCTGTGGTCACGTGGACACGCACATGGTTCCATTCATAGTGCAAGTGTGGGTCCATGTCAGCCCCCAGCAGAAAACCAGAGGGCTGGGAGGTGAGCTTACCATCCTCCTGCTGCAAACATCAGGTGAAACGGAAACTAAGGAGACACTGCTGGGTCTGGAGCGAATGTTTTTTGAATTACCAACTTGAAAACTAACGCCAACGCTGGCTAGAGTGAAGTGTTTTGGACTTGACTGTGGTTGGGGACAACAGAGTGGAGTATGCATAGTTGGCATGCTTGCTATGCATACAGTGTACGTGGTCACAAAAAATAGCTGCACGTGGACATGTGCAGTCGCTCACGGACATGGGTGGATTTTGTTATGTCAAGGGAACCCTTGTGGACACATGGACAAGGAAACTATGAATTGGTCTTAACGTAGGCTGACTTAAAACTGCATCCAGATTTTTTTTTGGCCACTTAGGGGCAGTAGAGCAAAATTAAAAAGCAGCATCTGATATAAATGATACAGTAA